CTGGTATGACCGCACAACATCATATGCAAGTTGAGTTTATCGACCTGCATACCTTGCTGGTATGACCGCACAACATCATATGCAAGTTGAGTTTATCGACCTGCATACCTTGCTGGTATGACCGCACAACATCATATGCAAGTTGAGTTTATCGACCTGCATACCTTGCTGGTATGACCGCACAACATCATATGCAAGTTGAGTTTATCGACCTGCATACCTTGCTGGTATGACCGCACAACATCATATGCAAGTTGAGTTTATCGACCTGCATACCTTGCTGGTATGACCGCACAACATCATATGCAAGTTGAGTTTATCGACCTGCATAAGGAGATTCTGTGTCTATTTTTCTAGTTATTCATAAAATGCATATATTTTATGAATAACTAGAAATATAGACACAGAATCTCCTTATATGTAAACATATATCTGACCAGTACTATGACGAACGTTTTGTGTGTGTGTGTGTGTGTTTTTATTGTGATCCTACAAATGTCTGATAGCGACTTGAAAATGCATTTGCAAATATTTGCAAGTCAAGTTTAAATTCGAGTTCTTTTTTCTATATTTATTTATCTTCACTGTATCTTTTCGTAATACAGTGCATATAATTAGAAAGATGAAAATTGCCTATTAGGAAAAACTTTTAATTAAAACCTTAGTCGTATTAATGTTCCGTAGTTTCTAAGTGATTTAGTTGTGATAAAAGTAATTTTATTTTCTAATTTCAGGCTTCTAGTGATCACCGAATTACGTCATTCCAATGAGTGAAGGCTGGTTCGAAATTACCGAGTTGCGAAGAATCTTCTTAGAATGCTCATGCTATTGAGGGTGGATAGACTCATGTGGTAGCAAAGGAACTTTAAAAAAATAGTCTTAGACCAGCAAGACTGGCCAAAGGTGATTAATGGGAGATGTTACAGAACTAACGCTATTGATTTTCTTGAGCTAAAATTCAGTATCGTCTTATCGTTGAGTTAACAACCGCGACAGGAACGCCTACTGGGTGCATTCTTAAAAGTTTGAGGAGCTGGTTTATCGAGCTAGCGTGTGCCCACAAAACCTCTACAGCTACTTGGGTGAGTAGACAGAATGCACACGTGTATGCACGTGTCAACTGCCAGCTTCAACAACGTAATTTATATATTACATTTTAACCCAGGACACACGGGACATTCCGAGACTATTAGTAAAGTCGTTCTAAAAATTTCATAACTATTCCAGATGTTATAAACGAGGTTGGTTAGAATGTATAAGATCTTGAAGAACATTCTGTGGAGCTCTGGATTTTTATAATGTTGTAAGGAAAGGGAAACCAACGAGGTTCTAAAAATCTGAATTTCCTCTAATGAAAATTATACTTATGTATAAAACATTTCTTAGACTGACATAAACATTGCTACAATATCTCTAACTTGTATACAGAAGTATCCACTCTATCTGAAGTGATGTACTGTTTACCACATTGAAGAGCCTAAGACTGATAAAAGAATATATCTTTTCAAACATTCGGTTTTGAATGTACTTTTTCTACTTCCATCCGAAATTATTATATAGTAACTTAAGATTTACAACAAGAGAGCGAAATATAGTTCTTAATAACCATTCATATCCAGCCATGTGATTGATATGTGAAGTATCATTTATACCCTTTTCTAAACATCTGGCCAATAATGTCATTATCTGCCGGTGAAGTCAACGCTACCATGATTAACTCTGGAACCCCAGTACCGATTTTGATTGACGTCACAATTCCTGACAATGACGTCACCAAACCACATCTGCTAATTCCAAGACCCACAGGTAATGTTTGATAAACATATATAAAATCTAAAAACCTAAACAACCCACGTTTGAGGAAAATATATTTATACATATATTGTTCCCTAAAGTTAAAATGATTGAGTATCTCTATACAGAGGGCAATTTTTAGTGTTTTTATTTAAGCCTAACACTATTATATATTCATTGCTCGACGTTTTTGAATACGCTGAGATCAGTTGAGAAGTTTGGAAAATACAAAATTAAGTTAATCGTTACGCTTAATTTATTTTCTTGCAATATGCATGTTTTATTCTTCTAAAATGAATTATATTAGCAGTCTATTTACAGTTCGTAGCAGGCCCATTTGCACAAAAGTTATGAAAAATTAGTGTATTTATAAAAAAAATATTTTCAGAAACCTGAAAACTAACTGACTTACAATGATTAAAAACTATGTGCCTAGTTTGTATTAATATACGACCAAAGAACTGGTAAAAAATATTTTTAGGGTTTGAAATATCCCACCAAAAAAAAACAACACATGGATAAATTTCTGGAGGATTTTGTTGTTTTTCTCGCATGCTTTCTAACCAAATATCTCGTTAAGCTCCACCTTCTTTTACTGGATCAGCCAATAGTAAAGCAAAAATATAGCACTTATAACTGTAGATATATTTGAAATTGAAGTAATGAGTAAATTTTAGATTAGAGAAACAACAACAAAATCATACGAAATTAATATGGACGGAAAATGTACACATTTGCATAGAAATGCTACTTTCTAGGCTCTTTCATATGTTTTATTTCACGCTACAATTATGTTAGGGCATAATAAAGAAGTTACTGTAATTTATTTTTGACATAACAATAAATTATCTTAGGGTTTAATACAAAAATAGTACCAAGACTAGGAGTGAGAAGTGGGGGCAGACGGAGTTTTGTAAGGACTTGGCCAACTTACCCTCTCTTACTCTCTGGCACTTAGCCTGAATTACACAATTAATTTATATATATATATATATATATATTTTAAAGATCATATAAAGTAGACAGTCTGGCCATATTAAAACAAAATTGGCATGTTTAGAGTTATCAAAGATATCTTAGCTATATTTGGTTTCAGAAAACTTTCTTTGTCGAAAATCTGGAGTGCCGGGGGTATAGTAGATAGACTTAAGGAAGAAATGTAATCTAGTAATCAAGATATTTTTCACTTGAGTTCCGATTCTCTATTCGCCATCTGCTAAATTATAGCTCGTTCTTGATTTGTTTTCAGTAGGTGAATGAGAAAACAGTTCACATTCTTATCGTGTTTTATCCCCAATTTGTTCTGAGGTCGGCGACTTTGTTCCTCCTATCTGTATATATATAAAAATTGGCGCTAAGTCTCATAGATATTATAAAACTTCAAAGAGAAACGTAGCACCAATGATAAATGTTTTTCAATGTTACAGCTGTTGTGAGTATTCATTTTCACAAGATGGGAGTCACTTTCTTAGAACTTCTGTAAGAAGCCATCTTCAGTAGAAAAAGTACTGTTCTCGAATATACTTAAAAACTAGTTTTCGTAAATAACACTTCTCTAAAAAAGAACTTTTCAAGAACTTCGTTTGCAATTCTACATAGCTTTTTCAGCTATAAAAATACTTCTAAACGATTGGTGTGATAATAGAAATATTCTTTTGAAGCATATTTCTTTAACCAAAATCAGTTTACAAATGTTGTTGTTGTTGTTTGTAGTTATGCACAAAGCTACACAATGGGCTATCTCTGCTCTGCCTACCACGGGTATCGAAACCCGGTTTCTAACGTTGTATGTCCGCAGAAATACCGATGGGCCACTGGGGGGCCAGTTAAAAATCTACATAGCTTCTTCAGCTATAAAAAAAGGACTTCTAAACGATTAGTATCATAACAAAAATATTCTTTTGAAGCATATTTCTTTAACCAAAATCAGTTTACAAATCTACGCAGTTATTAAAAAATAGACTAAACCATCACTATTATAATAAAAACGTTATCTTTCTGAGTTGCAAAAAGAAATACCTTTAGAGGAGACTACGTTTGTTTATAGAAAAATAATAATAATAGGAATTGTTTGTTTATTATTGAAGCTGCACAATAGTCTACGTGCTCTCTACCAACCACGAAAATCGAGCCCAGAATATGGCGTTATAAGTCCTGAAACTTGCAGTTGAACCCCAAAAAAATCTTACTAGTATAACACGTGATTAAGTTTCGGTTTTAAAACTTTGAAAACTTTGGAGAAATCCTTCAAAGAGAAATCCGTTAACTTTATAATAATTAATTATAAGATCGAGAGGTCTGTGAATTAAATAACTTAACTAAATCCTTTTATGTGTTAGTGAATCGGAATGCTTTATTTGTGTTTTAGGACGAGAAACTGGGGAACCTTATGAAATTAATTAGGTTATTATCCTATGTGATGTTTAACATGTGAAAATGTTGTTCCCTATTCTCAAGAATGTTTGGGCTGCTTCATCTTTAATAACTATGATAGTGAAAACGTAGAAGCTGTCGAGAGAAATAATTATCAAGAGCACCCTTAATTTCTACTTCAGTAAACAAAGAAAAAGTTTCTATCTGTAGTATAAGTCCTTTGTAAGCAAATAGACAGTGAATAATTTCACGAGCACATTTTAGTCACACAAAGTCTCGTGCTCTATAGTTCGTCAGGTGTGAAAATTTACAGAAGATTAATTAATTACTTAATGAAGTGCAACAAAATCGTTTGTTTGCAGCAACACTTACATTATTGTACCAAATTATTTTGTATAATTAGCATTGAAAAATTAAATGTTTTACAGACATTTAGACATTTGTTTTATAGATAAGATAACATATTGTTATTATCCGTCGTATGAAAAGTAGAAATTTATTTGTTATTACAAATTAGGAGTAGATTGATAATACAAAACAAACAGAATTTAGAATCTACTTTGCAGGATAAACAGTTTTACAGGGGAATGGTCAGGTTATTGGAACAGTAACAGAATCAAAACAAAATGAATAACATTGTTGCAAATCTTAATTAGCTTATTTTTTGTGCTTCATCTAACGCCAAGTTGTACAGTAGGATATCTGCTCCGTCCCCATCGCATGGATCGAGCCACGAATTTTAGAGTTAGAAGCCTTCAAGCTTACCGCTGAGCCACCGAGGACAAGTAACAAAACAGAAATACTATGCAATAATTTTAATAAATATAGTTTACTAATACATATACGTATCTCATAAAAGTGGTAAAAAAATGTGAACGTTACTCGAAAATCCAAGACAAGCATTTTGGAAATCTGAGAAATGTTAGAGAAATTCTGGGCTAAAAGAAGATCGAATGTTTTATCAGTTCTCATGAACGCGAGTCTCTTCCACCAGCAAGTGACGCCTTATCATTTCATAACCAGCAGAAAGAAGTTCATCTCAACAGAATCCATGGGCTAGAGATTTGAGGAGGAAAATCTGCTGTCATCTGTTCCTGAGTCCTCATTTCGTAGACTGTAGAACTGGATGCAAGAGTCTGCTCTGCAAATGCATAAAGGTTATCTACCATGAATGAGTGTGTGTTTTCTTATAGCCAGGCCACATCGGACTATCTGCTGTGCCTATCGAGTGGAATAGAACCCTTGATTTTAACGTTGTAAGTCCGAAGACTTACCGCTGTCTCACCGGGGAACTATGCAAATGCATAGCCTGCAAATGCATTGATGTTAGTGACTTAAGAATTAAGAGTGAATATATGGCTAAGGTAATTTTTTAAGATGTGTTACGTATTAATTACTAGATATCAGTTTGACAAATCCAGTTGTTCTTGTCTTCTGTTGTCCAGATTTTAAGTATCTTGTAATTTAGCATTGTATCTTTTTAGTCTTTGAAATGGCTAAGGTCAACTTTTCTTTAATTTAAAACATAATGAGTGAACTTTTAACGTACTTGTTAGAGTTCAGAAATCCAACTGTACAATAATTCAATCCTCTACAAACTGCTGGTCACTACAGTACCTTTACAAGTATAAAAAAACTCAAAGTAAAATGACCTTATATTCTCTTCAATGACTTTGAACTATATATTTTTAAGGTCGAAA